TCATATAGGATGTGTAGTTCTTTATTTTGCATTTCTCCTGCTTCCTGGGCAGATACCTGTGGAAGGAATCTCTTCTGCTTTATATAAGTAGTAGTAGATCATATGGGTTGTTCTGCAGTTTTCCCTTGGCAGTGACTCGACATTGGTCCTTATGATCATGCCACATAGTGGGATCATTCTATACCTTCCACCAAGAAAGTGCCAAATACAACAGGGCAGACCACCCCGCATGCTGTCCCTGCCCTTCAGGTCTGTGTGGTCAGTGAAGCCCTGCATTGCCATGCTGTACGGCTGTCGCAACAAATTACCATGAGCTTGGCAGCTTCAAACAGCAGAAATGCATTCTGTCATAGCCCTGGAGACTAGAAGTTGGAAGTCAAGGTGCTATCAGGTTGGCTCATCCTACAGGCTCTACGGAGAGTCTGTTCTGTGCGTCCTCCCAGCTTGCAGTAGTGGCCATGTAGCCTTGGAGTCCCTCGGCTTCGGGCACATCACTCGGATATCTGTCTCTGTCTTCATGAGGGCCCAGCTTCTCTGAGACTCTGGGTCTGCGTCCCCTTCTCTTCTCTCAGGAGGACTTGTGACTTACACTCAGGATCCACCTTGCTTACCTCTGCTAAGGGGTGTGGGCATGCCTTTGCGGGACTATTCAGCTCACCCCATGCCCTGTGTCTAAAAATCTGAACACTCCTGGCCTCTCAAATTTTCCCTGCCCTAGTGAGAAAAGGGTCAAAGCCTTCTTCTCGTCCTGATGGGCACCCCTGCTCTTGAGGAAAAAACCAAGAGCCCAGGAATGACATCTGGTCTTAATCATTTACCAGTCTGAGATCAGTCACAGAAAAAGTACCAGCCAGAATGGCAAGGCTTCTAGGAATTCTTTTCCTGAGTCCTGCAAAATGCAATGCTAATGAGAAGAGTGTTTACATATCTGGTATTTGAACTGAAGAGGAAACCAGGCAAAGGAAAAATCTTTCATTTGTAATCCTTGGGAGTTTTCAGTTCAGTGGTTGCCAGCTACATAGCGGCCTTTCCTGGAGTTAACCTGAGTTAGTTGTTGAGGTTCAGAGTTTCCAAGTTTGCCTGAATCCATCTAGGGTCAGGAGAACCAATACTTTTATGGATAAAATTTCTCAGGAGAAAGTTACATTAATGCAAAAATAAAAGATTGAGGCTGGGAATGTGATCTGGTGTTAACTGTTTGAGGATACAGTTGTTATTTGTATTGAACAAGGAATTTAGATGAAATGTTTTTAATTTTTGAAATTGAAGAATGAGATCTGCTCACTTCAAGTTCTTAGACGGTGTTGTTGGTGATAAGTGTCAGACACCTCACACCAGGTTTCTTAGGGCTGACATACAAAGTACATAACAAAGATTTATTTTCCAATGGTTCTGGCGGCCAGAAGTCTGAAACCAAGATGGTGCCGGGGCCAGAGTCTCCCCAAGACCTCCGGAGGAGGAAACGTTCTCTCCTCTTCCAGCTTATGTTGGCCCCAGGTGTTCTAGGCTTGTGAAACATAACTGCAACCACACCCTTCTCCTTGTCTGTCTCCCTCCTCTCAGATTCTTATAAGGACATCAGTCATGTTGGATTAATGGCCCAACCTACTCCAGGATGAGCGTATCCTAATTACTACATCTGTAACAACTCCGTTTCCTAATAAGGTTATGCTCTAGGTTAGGACTTCAACATACCTTCTGGAGAGACACAACCCTTAGCCTCAGCTGAAGCACAAAGGAACTCACATGACCAAGCTGCTGGAATGGAACAGGGCCTCAGATGTCATTAGTGTGCTCTCAGCTCTGCCGGCTTATCTCTGTGTATCATTCACACTCACAGACTTGCTGTGGGTCAGGAAGGCAAGCCTGCAGCAGCTTAGGGCTCATCTCCCACAGTGCAAAGCATTCTTTTACTCCTAGCTCATGTCGGGAGGTCCTGGGAAGAGTCTCTTAACATCTTGCCTATGGCTGGGGTAGGGATCGGTGACCGGAGAGAATGGCAGCTTGTGCTTCTAGAGTTGGGAGAAGATGTAACTCCTCCAAAACAGCAGGGCATCCTTAGCCAGGGCATAGTGGCACACACCTGTAATCCCAGCTACTAGGGAGGCTGAGGCTGGAGGATCACAAATTCAAGGGCAGCCTGGGCAACTTAGCAAGACCCTGTCTCAAAATAAAGAAGGGCTGGAGATGTAGCTTAGTGCTGCCTGGGTTCAGTCCCCAGTAGCACACTGACCACCCTCTACCAAAAGTATCCTTGAGCTGGCCACTGAGGAAATTGTGAGCTTAGAGTACACAGATCACCCTTACCCATTTGAATGTAGTGTTACAGTCATGTGTTACTTTGGAACTCCGTTGCCTGGACCATCTTTCATGTCATTTTTATATCTAAGGCTCCTCCCTTTCCATCCCCTGTGTGTTAACCTGGGCTAAACCCCGTTTGAGTTCAGGGGGATGCCCTCAGGAGTCTGATCATATTTCTCATTTCTCTGAAAGGTCAGTGTGTTTGCATTCAGGTAGAAGCTCATGGTGATCAACAATTTAATCTCTAACTGCTGAGGATGCCATGAAGGGTAGATCTCACCAAGAGGCATTTTTCTGTCTATTATTTTCATTTTCAAATTGAAGCTTTTAAACTGTAGAGAGGAACACACTAGTGTAGCAACATTCTTAACTGCTGGTAGGTGGCCTGTGGGAAGCATGTACTTCAAATGCCTTTTTTATATGTGCTTTCATATACTGTGAGGAAAGGCACTCTTCGATTTCAGCTCTAAAGAGTAATTCACGGGAGTGTTTGCTAAAATTATCAAAACAGCCTGATTCAGAATACTCATTTCATTTCTTAGTTATGCATACCTCACGCTGATACCAGAAAGTTTTTTTATTCTTATAGTCTACTGTGCACACCATAGGGAAAGATACCTGAGATACCTCATTTGTAGATGATCTAAAAAGAGGCATCACAGGCTACGTATAACTGCTCCTTGGGTGCAGTCCTTTGAGTAATAGTATCATGACAGGACTTTGCAGGCTTACAGTGATGTTTTCATGAGTGTCTCTGTCTTGGAAATTCTTTCTCTCTCTCTCTCTCTCTCCCTCTCTGACAAGGGACATATTTCTTGGTTCATCACTTTTCATGGAAAAATAGATTGCTAATGTCTGCTAGCTCTAAGCTAGAGAGGGAATACCAAGAACTCATTTAGCCATTCTTTTATTCCTGGTTAATGAGGGATAGCCTTTGCCTTTACCAGCCTCCACAGTTAATGAGGGACTTTGAGTTCACATTACCCCAAACGCAGCAGCGTGCAGACCGAGTTGGGGTTTTATTGCTGGTCATTTACTGCAGGTTAGGAAGGGGTGAGCTGCAGCATGTCAACTTGATGGAATTCCCACGATGTGGAATAAACCAGCTCAGGGTTAAATTGAGTGTGAAGTCATTACTGCTGGATGTTGCCTGCCCGTGGGTGTTTCTTATCTTTCTCTCCTTCTTTTTTTTTCCTTTTGATGATAATTATTTTTCTTGATTTAGGAGGTAGCAGGATACTATTATTGAAATAAAGCTATTTTCTTCCTGTTCTGAGCCATGATAACACATGTTGGGGATATTTGAATCATATTTTTCTCCCAAGATATCTTCATTTTCACAATGAAGAACAAGTATTTTTTTCTCTTTCCTGTCCCTTCTTTCATTTTTGTCTGTCTAAATTCATCACATTTATCAGTTAAATGTCCAAGAAAGAAGAGATAAAAATAAAGTTTCAGCTGCTCATTCTACCTGAAAAATTATATAAAAAAGTAATTTTAGATGAAGAAATATCTGGTAAGTTCCTCCAAAGTTTAGGCTTGCTGAATTTGGTTTGGTTTGCTGGGAAAAGAGAGGGTAGGTGGAATAGTGCATGTGGATATCTTCTGGACTGTAATGTGAGTGACAGAGGAAAAATCCTTGGGTTTTGGTATATATAGTAGTCATAAAAGTGACATTTTGTTGTCTTTCTAATGTCATTTACTGATTCCATTCTCTGTAAAGTCTTCCCATGACCCCTGAGTTATAACCACTGTCTCTCTTTCTTGACCCAAAAACAAGCTCTTTAATTTAACAGATGCTTATTGCACACTTACTATTTGGAGTTGACTTGAATAAAGTTCTGCCTTCTGTACAGGCAGGCCCGTGGTGCAGAAAAAGCTCAGCATGTCCCTGATGCTTAAGAAGTTATTCAGCATGTACGTTGCATTGGATTTTAACACATTTTCTTTCCCTAGATTACTGATTTTGACCCTCTTCCTGCACTGGAGAAAAGATCACTTTGGTCAGGCGCCTGCCCTTAATAGACTCATTACTTTAGAAATAAGTAGCTTTCTCCAGCCCAGGGAGGTTCACCTCAGTCATCTTGTGCTCAGCACGGCTGGCCCGCAGCAAGGAAGCGGTCCCAGGTTTGCTGCCCTAATTGGACAGAAGGAAATTGATTCGTCTTGGATGGGGATTGTCTAGGCCTTTTTGCTCCAGGAAAGTGCTGAGAGAGCATCTGTCCACCTGAGATCATGTGATGATAAGAAAGTGATGCCAGTGTGTTGGAGTTTGAGAGAAGGCACTGGAAAACCCACTGGGTCCAGCAGGAAAGGTAAATTTTTTTAACAGTGTGATGCTCTGAGCAGATGAAAGGGAAAACTAAAGAATACACACAGTTGGTCTTTCTGCTGGGAGTTGGGAATATTCTCTACAGGTGACCCATTTGCTGCATGCAAAAAGAATCAGCATTACTCTGCCAAGAAACACATGGGGAGCAAAATTGCAGGAAATGAGACTATTGAGGCCAGAAGAGTATATAAAGAATTTTAAACAGGAAGGTGTAGCTTAGAATAGAATAAAATCCCTATGTGGATTCGGCATACAATTTGCTCTTAAATTTTTGTGCTGCTATTGTTCTGTGGTATTAGAATTTTTTTTCAACAATGTACTTGCAGATTTTTGGCACAGCAGTTTGATGTGTAATTCATTTTTAAGTAAGAATTTAACATTTCATTTGCATGTACTATGATAGCCGATTGCATAGTTACACAATTATAAAAAGGTGTAATCTCTGCCTTAATGGCACTTAAAATTTAACGGAAGTCATTAAACAAACAAATAGCTGTAAGTTCAGTGTACCGTATCAGAGGAATGAATAAGGTTATAGGAACACAGAGGAGGGTGAAAACAAGTCTTGCTGAGGTTGATAAGAAGAGGCATCCTAGAAAAGGTAGCACTTGAATTAAGCCCGGAGCATTGGTATTTTATTATGACATGGACTTTTTATACCAGAAAAATCTAATATGTGCTCAAACACCCCACTGGATTCTGGAAATGAAAAAATAAGTAAGATAATATCCTATCCCCAAGAAGTAAAAGTCTAGCATGGAACATTTTGAGTAGCCAGCACTTTTAATTTATTGCATCATATGAAGGGGGTATACTTTGTATAAATATATGAAAATGAACACCTGTCCAGAAGTAAATGTAAACCAAAGGGAATGCCTAAGTCTGGGGGGTATGGAAAAGACTCATTCCAGCCTAGAAGTTTCCAACCCAGAATGCATCTTGGAGTCACGTGGAGAGCTTCCTAAAACCTCCCCACTCAAGCCCTTCGCAGACTTCCTCTAACTCTCCAGAGGTGCCCCAGGCAATTATAATTTGGAAACAACTACCTGTTGACTCCATTGCACAGAATGGTTTGAGAATAACTTGTCTTGGCAAACTGAAAACATGAGAACACAGGTGTGTTGGTGTATTCGAGGCTGGGCAGAGCCCCCTCAGTGACCAGGGCACAAACAAGGTGTGTTGCTACTGAGTAGACAATAAAACTGGACAGGCATCCCAAGGCCAGCTTGTGGGGGCTGTTGGATGCAGTGGTCAGGAAGTTTAACTTTCCTCAGTAGGCAATGGGAAGACATGAAAGTCCCTTCATCCGGAGAATGTTAGGACACATGGGGTATTAGATAAAAATGAGCGCGGTGTACAGAGACATTCATTTGGGAGGTGGAGAGGAGCCGGGGGCTGCTGCTTGAACACTGACCCGAGGAGCTGGGTTGAAAAGATGGAGAAGGATATTCAGAGGAAGAAGTGATGGAGTCTGGAGAACGATCAGTGTGACAGGGCAGCCCAGCTCCGAAGTCACCTCCACAAAGGCAGGATTGGCTGTGACTACGCAGGGACACAGACGGCCACAGAGATTGCTGTCCGGTACCTCAGCGATTGCCAGTGCGGCTTCTTGCTCATATTCCACGGCCGTTCTCACACTGCCCTCCCCACACTGCGACCTTGCCACACTTTCTGAGTGTAATTAAGTGGCCTTCGGTGTTAAGCCATGGTACCTGCAGAGTTGCAGTTTATAGTTACCTTTTCCTCCTGTTGCTCCTGACTTGACCTCAGTAGCCTCCATCAGAATTTCTTTTTGTTATAACTTCAAAATCATTTTTTTTTTACCAAGAATTAATAACCTTTTTAAGAAGGAAATTAGTGAGGTAGAATCCAATCACAGAATTAAATTTTAGTTTTGTTTTTTGAAACAGTCTTTCTCTATAGCCCATGCTAGCCCTGAACTCACGACCCTCCTGTTTCAGCCTCCCAAGTTCTGAAATTGTAAGTGTACATCACTATGCCTGCCTTAAGTATTTTTTAATCATTATTTTTCAGACCATAGATTTTTAGCTAAAACTGTAAACACCGAACTTTCTGCTTTTCTCAATGAAGTAATGTGAAAATTACAATTCATTTCTAAACATGTGCTTGCCTTTCAAAGGGAAGGCTGTATTCTGATTAAAAACTGCACCCAAATATATAGAAAATTTTCTTTTTGGCCCATCTATTTAAATTAGTGTATGCTTGCAATCCATAGTAAATACACTGAAGACAGCTCTGCGAGCCTTGCAGTGCTCTTCTATGAAATGGGGACAGCAGCGATAGTCAGTGTTCCTGTCCCATCCAGCGGCATGAGTTCCTAGTGGGGAAAGAGACGCAAAGTACATGGTGAACTGAAAAGCATGGTGTAAATACCAACCACTGCTATGCTCATTTCTTTGTAGAGTTTTCAATTAAATGATACCTTTTGTGGCACAGGCACAATGTTTAATCTCTCTGGTCACAGTGTGCTGTATTTTCCCATATGTATAAAGTTATTCAGTTTATAGTAACTGCCACAGGAGATGCTCTGACCATTTGCATTTCACTCTTCTTTGTTTTAATAATGGTTAGGTGTCAGTTCATTTCCTTTTTTCTGATTTATTATTTCATAGTAATATAGGATTTTGGAGCTAGACGCGTTCCTAACAGACCTCTAGTTCAACTGCTTACTCCCCAGTAAGAAGGCTGAGAAATGGAAAAAGTGGCCAGGCTGGGGTCTCACGAGTCAGGACCTGCATGGCCTGATGACAGCCTCTAGCACTCTTGAATGCTGAGGGCTCTTCTTCACCCTTGGAACCATGTCCTACAGTGGTCTATATTTGATTCGTGACATGTTGGTCTCACTCCTGTAGAAAGAGAATTTGTTTCGTCCTGAGGTACAACAAAACCCAGAGTTACAGCTTGGTAAAAGGCTCTGAGTCCAGGCTGCTGGGCCATGGGGAGGAGGACCGACCCAAGAGACCCTGCATTTCTGTGCTGAGGGGCTGCTTTAGCTGGGCTCTTCCCATCTTCGTGTCATGGGAGGGATTGGCTGGCTCTGCTCCAGTTTTGCGGGTTTGGCCTTGGTCTGGCCTCAGCTCAGGGGGCTCGCTGCCCGGAGGCATGGAGCAGACCTTGCCCATGCCTGGCTGTGGTCTAACATTTGGAAGGCTACCAAGCTGTGTCACCACACTAAAGGGAGCCCAGGGCTCACAAAGCTCTGGTTGACAAATGTGGCTTGCGCTGCCCTCTGGGGCTCAGCATGGAGCAGAGAGAGGGACACTAACTTACCTCTGGCGGGTCCTCCTGCTCTCTGAGTGTGGCTGGAGCCTGGTGTAGCAGGCAAGGGGTGGGACAATGCTCTCCACTTCTTTTGGCTGCAGGGCCCGGGCCTCTCTTCCAGAGGAATCCCGAGGCAGGGCAGACACGCACCCTGAGTGCAGAGGTCTGGAACGTGAATCCCACACCTCTTTCTTTGTCGGAATAGAGAAGTGCTTTGGTTGTCATCTAAAAGTGTGTCCCTTGCCTTAAATGTACTCTCACTTGGGACATTGCCACGCTTGGGGGTCCTGAATCCTATCACACATCATCTTTCTTTCTTCAGATGTATTTGTTCACTCTGTTTTCTCTTCCCTCGGACATTGGAACTGAGAGTAACTGTGAGAGGCCCTCATCCTTCCCCCTGCTCCTGGTGAGACCCTGGGACCTGTGTTGGGGGATTCCAGGCCCGAGGCAGAGCTGTTTGTTGAAGGGGATGAAGTCCAGCCACAATGGAAGAGGAAATCAGACAAGGATGTTTTGAAAAGCAAGCTGTGTTTTTCTGACTGCTCCAGTACTGGTTCCCACCCTGAAGGCGCCTCTGACCCTGGGGAAGAAAAAATATTTTTAGTCTGATAGTGTACTGTAGGCAACCCAGAGCTGAAACATCTGTGAAACAGTCTTCAGCGCTCAGAGGAATGCTTCTTAGTGGAAATAACTTGTAAAGGATCACCTAAGACTCCACAGCCAGGGAGCCAGCCATGCACAGAGCTCTGTGTGTGACCCAACTCCCATGAAGTTCTTTGAGATTTATTGTAGAGTAGGTATGCAGAGGAAGGAAAAAGGGTAGGGAGGGATGGGGAAATACTTGCAATTCCTCGGGAAAGGATAGCAATAACAGAGCTGGAATGTACCTTAGAGATAGCCGCTCGGTGAAGAAAAGCGTTCGGCACACTGGGGCTTAGCCTCAAGTGTTACACTGAATGGGGATAACCTTTTGCTACATATCATTTAACAAGTTTCGGTGTTTTTAGTTGCAGCACATTTGCTCCAATTTACACAGCTATGGTTGAAATAGTAAATAAAGGGGACTCTCTGCTTATCTGGCCCTGTGGTATGCCTTCTTACCCCTGCTCCCACCAAATGTCCCTATCTAACTGCCGTTTGGCCAGTGAGAAATGTACACTGATTGGCTCGCTGGAGCAGCTGGCATGAAAGAGATCCTTCGCATGGCTATGATGGTGAGTTCCTGACTCCGGCATGTGCTGTTATACTGGAAAGGAGACCAGGAATGAGATCATGAGTAACAAGAATCCTTAAGCATTGGCCCTTGCACAAGAGACAAAAATTATCCAATTGGGGTTAGATTTCAAGAATGTTGAACTTAAAGGCAAATATTTGTCTTCTGGTGTTAAGAAAAACAAGGCTATGAAATCTTTGACCTTGAGTTTGGGAAGCAGGTCATATGAAGCCAGAGTGTGATGAATTTCTCATCTTTCCTTCTTGGAACTATGCTAATATTTTTTTAAACCACATGCATAGCATCAGTAGCCATCTTGACATCACAATCGGTGTTCACAGTAACGTTCTCTTGGATTCTGAATCTCCCCTGCATTAATCCAATATCCTGCAAAGACGCCTTTAAAATTTCCTTTCAGATTTTAAGTATGTGGAAAGAAGATGGCTAGGAGTCATCTGGTATTTTGCAACCTAGTTACCAAATTATTCAAAGTGAATTTATAAATAATTCACATGTCCTCTATCTGCCCAGTAATGTTATAAGCTAGGGAGAACCAATACTTGAAGACCCTATTAACATTACTGATTGTACAGTAGAACAAGGTCTTTTCAGAAAGTATAAACGAGCTATCTAGTCCTTCTATAAATGTAGTTCAGGGTCCACTTTAACAGGTTGCTTACCCCTCTACCCTTTTACTATTCCTAACATTGGACATACAGATATTAGCACAGCCTTATAACGAGTCTAAAACAAAGCAATTGACCCCCTCCTCAAGAGACCCTAGGGTCCAGGATCCCTTTCTGGTGAACAGTTTAGCATGATCACCTCAAGTGAGTTACTATTTCTCAAGGGATAGACTTACAAAAATCCACTGGCTTTTACCTGGATGACTAACTTCTGTGCTTCCTCATGATAATTTATGGAAGAAGAAACTAGAATACTTACAATTATTTTTAAACTGCCTAACCTACTAAAGTCATTTATAGTTCTTAACCATGATATGTAGCAGGATGTGGAGAATGACTTAATAAAAACCCCTAGATTTGAAGACCAGCTCTGTAACTTTGGAGATTTTTCTTAGCTTATAAATAGTCATAATAATAGTAAGATACCTCACAGTGTATTGGGTGAATTAAGTATGAATATATTTTCTAAATATTAACCTATAGGATAAATGTAGAAGATATTATTAACATTAAAAATAGGGGCTGGGGATTTAGCTCAGCGGCACAGCGCCTGCCTGGCAAACGCAAGGTTGTGAGTTCGGTTCCCGATACCGGAAAAAAAAAAAAAAAACTCAAAACAGTAAAAATAATTGACAAAGGAATGAGAGGAAAAATTTAGATCTAAGAGAAGCCACTAAAGTCCTCAAACTTCCAAACCCAGTTCTCTTTTGCTGTCTAATAAACCTGGGTCCTAACTAGAAGGCTTAAGACATCATGGCAACATAATACACAGTGATCCAGGCAGTACCATTGCTTGCTGATTTTAAGTCAGTTTAGGGATTAAGTGTAGGGTTATTTGCATTCCATCAGTTGAAAGGATACCAACAACAGAAGGACAAGGCTGGAAGGAGGATTGACAAATGCTTTGTGTCGCTCTGGAGGTCCTGGGATAATGGATACACTACCTGATGGGATTAAGCTGCACAGTGTTTGCTTAGAGCTCATTTCATAAAAGATCATTCACTTTATAGAGGTTAGAAACACTTTGGGAATCCATTTGGCAAAGTGCTCTTAATGTGATTCTTCTTACTTAATTCCTTCAAATTCCTCCTGGATTAAAATGGTAATACAAGGCAAAATCCATTTTGGATAACCGTTGAGCTTCAGCTACTGAAGTGGAACATAAAGATACCTTCTACCCTTGCCACGTCTATGCCACATACAGCCTTTAACATGTATGTCCAGCTGAGTGGGACTGTCAGTCACCAAAAAGTATGGGTAGTAGTTTTTACAGCAGTACCTCTTAGAGCAGCCAAAAATTCTGAGCCCAAATGTCCATCAAGAATAGAATAGATAGGGGCTGGGGATTTAGCTCAGCGGCAAAGCGCCTGCTTGGCAAGCGCAAGG